TATATGGTGTTAATGAAATTTTCTGTTCGATTAATTATTACCACGTAATAAGCCCTCATTGGACCCAATGAGTGGTGTGTCGCTTGGTCCAACTCACCTTTGGCCAGGTGATTTGGTGTCCGAGCATGGCGAAAGGAGGATATAAGGTGTAGTCATGCAATTAAATATTTGTTCGATTTGTTTGAAAATATTATTCGGTTAAATGTTTTGTGTGCCCACTTAGTAATCGCATGATTAGTTACATTCGCATACATCATTACATATTAATTTTTAGTTACTGAGACTTTTAAGTCTCATTCCCCGTGGTTAATATTTTTACAGGAGCGAGTCCGGCCGAGAAAGCACCAGAGGTGTAACTTTGGTGTATGAGACATCATCTTTTACGTTGCCTCTTATTTTATATTATGTAATGTATCTTGTGCCAATCTAGAACATACCTTATTTTGACAACATGTAAATTCTAATCCTTTTTATTAAATGCATTTATATGACCAAGAGGATTATGTTTGTCCCTCTTGATTCATGACCTGATTTAAATATCATGCCATGAGGATCATGTCTGTCCCTCATGGTTCTAATTGCTTTTTGAGATAATTTAAGACCTGTGGTATATTATCTTAGATGTACCATGGTAGAAATTTTTCTACCATAATAAGGGTATGATAAGGGTTTAATAAAAAAAATGATTTATCGAATTAATAATTTGTGAAAAATCGGTTTGTAAATTTGAGGGTGTTACAATTCACCCCTCATTAGTACTTGTAGTTTATTGTGTTAATGAATTATAGCAGTTGAGTTGTATCAGGTCAAATAAAAACTGAGTTATCTATGAGTCAAAAGTTTAAAGACTAAATCAATAATTGAGAACAAATTCAAGGACCAAAATTATATTTTCCTTAAAATAATGGACAAATTAACAATAAGAAAATTTTTCGTATAATCATAATAATTTATGGAGATTCATTGTAAAGTTGTAATTTTTAAATGTCGGGCATATTATTTACACATGAAGAGTTCAAGAGGGTTATTATAATTGAGTTTGAATCTAATGAGTGGCTTAAATACACTTATTCAATAAGTGTTCTTATGTCACATGAAAACAATTGTTCAATTTAATCAAATAATTATAAAAGATTTTATCACATAATACTAAGAAAGTATAGAATTCCAAATTAAATTTTTGGAAGGGACGATATATGTGAGTAGTGTTTTAATAATAAGGATTGTTTTAAATTTTTTGAGGAAAATATGTCCTAATAATTTTTAAATATTGATAAAATTTATGGCTATAATTAAGACACTACTCATTAAGTGAGTGGACTCTAGTCGCTCATTGAATTCATATCCATTATAATTTTGACTTTTTTTTATAATGAATTTGCCCCGATGAAATTTTGACAGGTCTAAGTTCTTGTATTACAAGTTCGCAATATATGATAATCAACCTCCACAACATGAAGCTGGAGCAGTACATCAATTCAACCATTGACTTCACTGTCATATTAACAAGTTGTCTCTACGCAGCTTATACAACGTTGGAACCATCATATACAAGATCAACATTGTTCACAAATGCAGAGTGCACAGAATTAAACGTCCAAGAAAAATGAACTGCATCATGATGATGATGATGAACTCTATGATGATGATGAAGCCTCTGAAACTGAAAAGCAAGGATCCCATGTGGGATGAACAACGCCAACACTGGTACCTCCCTTTCAGACATCACGGTACTTTGGCATCTGATAATTTCCAGCTTGTTGCTGATGATGACGATTTGGATCCGTCGTCCCAGATGGTGTTTCAGTTTCTTCTGATGAACAAGAAAAAGAAAAAGAAAAGGTAATCTTGGAATTTGCTGAGATAGGAGAAGATTTGTTCATTTTGGATTACTGTTATCCACTCTCAGCATTTCAAGCCTTTGCCATCTGCCTAAGTAACTTTAATGCTAAACCAAACTGTGATTGAGGGGATCCGGATCCTCTCAGAAGCCACCCTCTCAGAGTCCCTCAATGGTAGAAAATCCTAGCCTTTCAATCTATATCTGATGTATCATATCTTGCCATATCATCTCATGTTATAATTTAATTTTAAAAAATAATTATTTCACAATTTATTTCACCATAGATATATTTTTTATACTAATGATTCAAAATGATTTTTTTTATTTTAAAAACTTGTTCTCCAAAATTATTCTGCGGATTTTTTGTAAAACAAATATTTGTTAAATAAGGTAGGCCAAAGTTTGAACAAGCCAAACTCTAAGTCCTCGCAAGCTTTTGGGATTATTCAAATTGTTTGTACGGATTTAGCTGCTGTCTGACTTATTTAAATTCTGGCCTGACTTATTTAACAAATACCTATTTAAAAAAATTTACAGGGCAATTTTTCAAAACAAGTTTTGAAAATAATAAAATCATTTTGAATCATTAGTACAAAAAAAAAATATATCTGAAGTGGTAAAATAAATTGTGAAATAATTATTTTTAAAAAGTAAATTATTTTAACATGAGATACTATGACAAGATATGGGACATTAGATATGGGATTGAAGGGCCAAGATTTTCAGCCGCTAGGGGACGCTGAGAGGATGGCTTCTGAGAGGATCTAGATCTGTGAATGAGATGTGTTTGGCTTCTCTACATACGAACAGGTTATGATTTACAGAACTATATTTGTACCTCTCTTTTTTAGTGGAGAGAGAATGAGAGTGTAATGTTTTAGTTTCAAGTTTAAATCTAAATACAAGAGTTTTAGGTACTGTTTAGATTGATGGATTTGGATTTGAATTCTAAATTTAAAATCTCATATTTAAAATTCATGTATTAATAAAAATCCTTTGTTTTCTAGTAATTTTATAAAAATTTTAAAATGAAGAAACAAATGAGTTGAGATTTGAATAGAAATAAAAATTAGAAGTAGTGAGTTTACCTTTATTTTTCAATCGATGAAAGATGAGAATGAGATATAACAAAAATAAATATGAGAGTTATATATGCATCAATAATAAAAGCACAAAGAAAGTAAGATGTTTGAAATTTTAAATAGCCATGGCCAGTGTAAAAGAAATATGAAATTACAAAAGAATTATAATAAGAAATGGATTTCATAAATTCTTGTATATTCAAATGAGGGATTTAGTTCAAATCAAAATTCTCATCAACACGAACACATCATTAAGTTTAATCTAAGGTTATGAGAAATGGATTGGACCATCTCCTCAACCAATTAAATTGGGAAACACTCATGTTCAGATCAATCCACAATAGTATTTTGGGTAAATAAGTAAATTACTTACTATAAACTTGTTTATTGTGCAAATTATTCTCTTAACTTTTGAGAAAGGTATAATCTAACCTCTGTCATTAATAAAAGTTAATTTGACCATTAGTTGATAAAAAAATTATATAAAAGCACCAAAAATTACAATGAAGGATCTAAAATTTATAGATAAGGACCCACAAAATTTCAGAAAAGGATTAAAAAAATTTGAAACATAACTTCATATTTGTGTTCCCATTTTATTATAGATTTACCATTTGTATATTGATAAAATAATTGTTTACCTGCTTATATTGGCAAATTATGAGGTTAGCTTAATCATATGTTTTTTAAATATGAAAATAATTTAAATTTAATTTATAAAAATTGTAATTGAGTTTTAAAAATTTCATAAAAAATAATTAAAAGAAAGGGGATAAATGGGTTGGTGGGTTGGCCTCCCAACCAACCCTCCTATGGGGATTTGTATCCTGTGAAGAGGTATGGGCGCAATGTTTGGAAAGTGAGAAATCCTCATTGTGAGTTTTTAACCAATGATTAAGAACAAAGAGGTGCATAAAAAAAACTTCTCATCTGCAAAGCACACCATTATTTTAATAAATAAAATATTAAAAATAAAGATAATATCTTAGAACTTTTAAGAAAATATTTTTTGAAAAAAAATTATAAGTTAAAAGTTTAAAATCTGAACCGTTAGAAGTAATTCTAAATAGTTAACTTACCAAAAAATTATAAAAATTTTATTATTAAATTTGAACCGTTCAAATTAAATATCAACAATCAAAATTAATGACAAAGGAGTTTTACTAAAAAAATTATTTTTATAATTTTTATTTTCATAAAAATAAAATAAAAAATTGCAATATGGTGGAATCATGGGGTTCGAAAGAGCCAAGATAAAACGTGATTATGTACTTTGTAAATGAGAACTTTTTCATGTGCCTCTTTCTTCCCACTCATTAAATAAACGATGAGGATTTCTCACTCCCCCACTACTGCATCCATATACCATTGCACGTGATCCATATCTTGGCATTGTCTTAACTTGCCAAGAAGCAAGGTTGATCCTAACCCGTACCACCATTTCGCGAGCTGGCTTGTATTGCCATTTCTATCCACATGAAGTGTGCGAAGAGATTTAGAATTTAAAGCCCCATGACCAAGAAAATGTCTCTCGATCCAGCAATATTTAATTTTTGTTTAAACGCCGTTCACTGAACAATGTGTGGTTTAGGAATTATGCAATGTATAGGGTCCTAGATGTATTATCAAACATAAAATTTACAGCAAATTGTAAATCATGAATGGTGCAAATCATTTCTCATGTTCATCTAATCTAGTTATAATCTGAAAGAAATTAATGAGATGAATTATTGGATAAAGAAAAGAGTAAATTAAACGAAGGTCAAAATTAAAAAATCATACCACATTTTCATTAAAATTAAATAGTAACAGTTAACTCATTAAACATACCTTGCTCCTATTGAAATAAGAAGAGAGAGGGATCTATATAGCATATGATAAGCCATAAAATTAAACTACAATAGGATAAAATTGAAAAATGATAATAAATAACCTGACATGTATTAAAGATTAAAATTTTTTTTAAAAGGTGCTCTATAATAAAGATTAAAGATTAGAATATACAAAACAAGTTTATGGAATAAAGATATGCAACATAATAATATATTGTATATCTTTTTGAGAAAAGTAGAAACTGAATATCACAGATTAATTCAATGATTGCTCTTTGATTGGTAATATGAATAATCGCTAGCATGTTTCTATGATGGCCAATTTCTATACCAACCAGACCAAGCAGAAACCAACCCACTAATTCCTAGAGTCACAGCATGATTACAGAATGGATTTGGTTCAATATCAGCCAAAGCTATGATGAAATCTGCAATATTTGCAGCCACCGCCATTAACCTCATCACCCTATCAACCCTAATCTTCTTAACCTCATCATTTGCTTTCTTCTCTTTCTCTTCTTTCTCTTCATCTTCTTCTTCTTCAAAGATTCTTCTGATCTTTCGCTCTTTCTTAATCCCTTCCTTTATCAGCAAGAAATCAGCTATGATGAAGAACACATACCCTACTGCTTCTCCAAACGCTGATATGAAGCTCATCTTTCTGGCCAAGTCTGGGTTTATCGTCCCAATTCTTGCGAGCCATGTGAAGTGGTCGAAGAAGAAGTAAATCATCTCACCGGCATTGGCCGGTATGGCTAGCAGCCGGAGAGTAAGGTTAGACCCCGGGTTTCGCCGGAGAAGGTTTAATCCGGTGAGAAACCGGCCGGTTCGAAACGCCTTCCGGCTGAGACCTGATGAGACTTCCCAGTTCTTGAACTTCTTGGCCATGTCCGGGTGCGTCGCTTCCATGCGCCAGTTTGCAAGCTTGGAGACATACTGGAACGTCTTCACGAGCTTGTCTATGCCATCTCTCTTCGCTAGAAAGATCACAAGCTTATCCACTGTGTCATTCATTCTTTATCTGTACTTTCACTTGCAGAAGGGAGAGAGAAAAAGAGGGTACGAGAGAGAGAGGAATACCGTTATGGTGGTTCCTGGAATGATGATGAAGATGATGTGTGTTGTAAGGAAGAAGATGACTATAGAAGGAGAAAAAACTGAAGCAGAGTCACAAACTTGTGGATTTTGGATAAGAGAAGCTAGCAAGAGAAATATGTGGTTATTACCCTTTGGCTTACTTCCTGTATATATGACCATTCGTTTTTTTTTTTTTTTTGCGTCATTAAAATTTTGTACGTATTAGAAATTCGTCTGCATATGAGACACTTGGCGATTATGCGTTTCTCTGTTTTGTCGTTTAGGAATAAATCCAAACGATTCAGGTTAAGTTTTTGGTGAAATTACGGGGAAGAAAAGCTAAAGGGTAATTAAGTAATAACATTGGGAGAGGCTTGAAGAAAAGAATATTTTCTGAAAGAAAATCATACTGAAACCGGTAACTTGAACTAAGGTTGCGCAAAAGTTCTCCAATATTATTTAATTTCATTTAATCTAAGATGGTCTAGTTCAATTCGATTCATATAAACACCAGTTCTTTAACATCAAAAAGACAGAAAAGATCAGACTATTTTTTCGAGTTGGACTAGACAAGAGATTGAATATCTGAACCACTTAATCCAATTCAATCCTATTAATTTATTTAATATAATTATAATTTATTTATTTTTGAGAAATGCTTTAAATGTAATTGATACTAAGGAGATGATTGCATGAAGATTTGTTGAGTTTATTTTTAAATTGTTGTAATGTAGTGTTATTGAAGTTTGTTGAGTGTTTTTTTTGTTGAAGTTATAAATTTAAATTATTTGGACTGTAATTGAAATATTTTTTTCTTCTTGTTGAAAATTATTATGAATTTATTATGATTATAGGTGTTTCTATTATCTTAATTAAGTTTATTAGGTTGAAATGAATTATTGCCTCTTATAGAAAATAAGGAAAAAAGAACTAAGTGAATGCTGGACTAACATGACTAGTCTCCCAATCTTATAAATTAAATTTGATCCTGTTAAACTTTGGATTATCACTGGACAAGATCAAACTACGGGTTGCCTAACTCAATCCTTTTCATGAAAGAAACCGAACTTCGGATTAGGTTGAAGTCAAATGTTGACCTATCCTTTGTGTAGCTCCAACTTGGATTATAAAAGTTAAGCATCTCATGTGATGATCACCGCAGTCTACATTTAATTTATGGTCATAATTTAAAATTTTTATTTTATTTTGATAATTAAAATGTTAAAAATAAAGATGATTTCCTTATTGCTACTTTCTAAAACAATTCTTTTTCCCAAAAAAAATTACAAATTAAAAATTTTAAATATAAATCATTTAGTGTAAATATGGATAATTAATTTATAAAAATAATAAAAAAATATAATATTAATTTTGGACTATCCGAATTAAATTTAAACTTTTCAAATTGGTAATAAACAATTATAAAGCAAATTTATTTATTTTTTCTAATTTTTATCAATTTTTATTTTAATAAATTTAAATAAAAATAAAAAATAAAAAGAAGCTTTAAATCTAGACTTTAATATTAAGAAATTATATTTATTTTTAAATCTGAATTCTCCATATTTAATCTCGACGGTCTAAATCTCATTAATGGTGATGAGCACTAAAAATTAACTTAGCCCGGGTAATCTAATTTGGTTCTCTTAATGAGTAATTCACATGATACAATTATAGTTTAATTGAAATGATTGTCTAAAATTTTATTATATGCTATTCAAAAAACACCAAGCCTCAAATTTTTAGAAGGGGACATGAAGTGTTTTGATTGTGATGATTGTTTTGGATTTTATAAGTGAAATATATATTAATAATTTTTAAATATTAGTGAAATCTAATAGTTATAATTAATATACTTATTGATTGATTGAGTAGATTTACATCACTCCCATATCCAAATTCTCCATAATAGGTTGGACTTGCTAAACTATAATGAGTTTGGCTAGTTAAATGGAAACTCATTTGGAAGTGAATCTTTTTCGGTTCACATTGTCTAACTTAAATCTGTCATCGGCTAACCCGCACAGCTAGTTGCCCTTTCTTTTTTTAAAGCAAAGGCATAAAAATGTCTAGAAATTTTTTCTTTAAGACTAACTAATTTCTTTAAGTCAATAATGACATGTGTATTCATCTGTTGATTTTATTAAAAAAAAAAACTAACCTTCTCCAATTCATTAAATTCTATCTTTAATTAGAACTTTATATTTAATGTCAGACTATTAATAGATGAAAGAAAGTTGACATTTTTTGTAAAGTTAGTGAGTATCTATACATTACTGATTTAAGGACCAGAGTTTTGGGGGGAAAAGTTACTAACTATTTTTGTGCCTTAACATTTTTTTAATATATCTCTTCAGCAACGACTTCACTCGAGAAAATCATTTCTATAATTTTTTTATGACAATCATTTCTATATATTAACATATCATTTACTTGTGTGCGTGTTTTTATCCCTTCTGGAATATCTCTAACTATATAAACAAAATATTTTTATATCATGCCATAAATAATTACCGGTCACAATTTTTTCTATTTGTTTCTGTTTTATTCTGTTACTCTCCATCAAGCCCATTTTCAAAAACTAAAGGGGTCCTTAGCTTTCAGCCTTCACTTAAAAAGAAATGCATAGTATAATCTTCTACACAAACAGAGCCACAATAAAATTTGTGAGGGGCAATTTGTTTGGAATAAATATATTAATGCACAACTTTTATTATTAATATTTATCATTGATAATTGTTGGAAATAACCTTACAACATAAGAATCTTCTGGATGAGCGTATCACATGATTCACGTCCTATGTTGCTTAAAATTAATTTTGTAACATAAGAATTAAAGAATGAGAGGATGATCGTATTCTTGCATCTGCAAAATACATATGCTGGGATTGGAGAATAAAGAATGTTCCCAAATGAGTTTTTATCAAAGGAGTAAACAAAAATCTTCTTCTAACAAGTTGGCCAGGATAAATTATGGAGTTATATCAATAAGTAAATAAATTAGGGAGAATCACATTTAACGACCATTCAAGTAAAGTATCCACAAATAAGAACTAACAATAAGTCTTCTTTGAGAAAAAAATTCACATTTACATTTTAACAATTCATTTCGTATTGTTAACCTCTAGAATTTCATGTTATTTTATCACATTTTTCTTATATTCTAATCCATTTTGGCTCAATTGTATATGTTTTTATTGCCTAAATTAGAAAAAATCTGCACTTTATTTTAGATTTATATTCTTGACTTTGATTTGATATTTTTGGCCTAATTTCGTGTTATTTTGGTTGAAGTTTTGATTAGAAACATTTCTGAAGCTTTGTGAATGTTTTGGAAAGCTTTTGAATGAAGAAATCAAGCACAAAATGAATAATTTTTATTAGTTGCAAAAAAAAATGCAAAACTGCCAAAGTTGTCCCAAAGTCGTGACTTTCGTTCACGACTTTTGTCGCTTTCAAAAAAACGCTGCGTTTCATTTATCAAAAATTGGTTGGCTAGGATATATATATATATATATATATATGCTGAGAGCTCAACTCAAAAAGCATTATTTAAACTTTTAGACACATTTAGAACTTGCTTATGCTAGGGTTTGGGCATTGGAAGAGTTGGAATCAAGAGATTAAAGCTTTGAAGACATTTGGAGTTCTATTTTTTTTATTTTTTTATTCCTCTTTCTTTTCCTATCTTGTATTCTGAAATGGGTCCACTTATTTTGTAGGGAAAATCATTCTAAGGTCACGTGGAAGCAATCAAAATACACTAAAGTCCCATGAATTCATCAAATAGCTACCAGATCTCAAGAGACTTAAGGGTGAATAAGTTTGAAAATGAAATTACTAATTTGTCTTCTACCATTAAAAAGGAAATCTTACTTGAATGCAGATCTCACAAAACCCATGATTAGCGAGACTGAAGATTGATGCATATCCATGATTGTTGATCACGATAGGGTAATTTTTACTTCCCCATATCTATGATTACTGTCGTTATCTTCATCTAAGCGAGGTGGGAGTGTTCATCCACGACTGCAGTATTTCATCACGCGACAAAAAACAACACCGTGATTATTGAGCGAGTAAACGATTTCTCATGCGTTAATGATTTCATTATTGTTTAAGGGTAGGATAATGCTTTCTGGGTATGCCTACGATCATTTAATTTGCATAGCTAATGGGTATGGATTCATCTGGTGTGACATTGATACGTTGAAAAATATCTGATACGAACAACTTTACATGTTGTCAATAGTATATTCTTGTATTGTCAATATGCTATCGATAGTTGTCGATGCACTGTATTGTGCAGGATGACTTGTAAGAATCCTTATACCACCGAAAAAACATGTATTATGTTATGTTTTTTTCATATAGGGGACATTTTATATATTATTCTTAAGCATATGATGCAAGCTTCTTTTGTTAAAAAATCTCTATTATGAAATAACATTGCTTCTTGTCAATAATGGATAAATGCGTTGATATTATGCTGTTTATAGTTGTCAATACACTGTGTGTGATGTTGGTTGACTTGTAAGATGGCAAGTTCTTCTGGAGAACATATATTATATTTTTTTTCATATAAGGAATATTTTTAAAATTATGACCAAGGAAGTATGCAATATGTTGGGGGGAGTGTTAGAACAAGAACAATAAAGGAATGGACAACGTATGAAGAGTTGACAAGAATGATATCATCAAATGAGTAGCACATACATGCTCTTGTTTAGCATGGCAAATGAGTGGAATACCTTGTGTGCATGCATGTGCAGCAATCAAGCTAGTTTATGGTAATGTGTATAATTTTGTAGATGAATGTTACAAGTTTACCACTCAACAAAAGATATATGCCAACAACATAAGGTCGGTAGTCATATATGACTATCCATGTCCATAAGCATTGACGGTGACAAATTTATTAACCCAAACCTGATTGAAGCTACCAATGACTATAAGACCTTTGGGTAGGCCAAAGCGTAAAAGAAGGGAATCTTAAATCCAAAACAAAAGGATTTATCATTGTGCAAGATGCCATGAGACTGGTCATCCCTCCAAGACTTGCAAAAATCTTAATCCATGCTAGAAAATATCAGAGACAAGTGTACTTTTTTGTTTATGTATTTGAAATTTATTTTTTTGTTTATTGCACCTAATGTATCTGCACTTGTCAACAAAGAATGCATAGCTTGGCAATGAAGTGATAAGTTATAATTAATGGCCAATGGCAAGTAGTCAATCGGTTCTTGTAATTGGTTAATTTTTAAAGGGAATTATTACACTTAATGTATCAGCACTTGTCAATGAAAAATGCAAAGCTTGTCAATATAATAATAACTTGTAATCAATGGCCAACGGCAAGTAGTCAACGGGTTCTTGTAACTGGTTGATTTTTAAAGGAAATAACAGCACTTAATGTATTAACACTTGCCAATAGCGAATGCATAATTTGTCAATATAGTGATAACTTGCAATCAATAGCCAATAGCAAGTGGTCAACAGGTTCTTACAACTAGTTGATTTTTAAAGAAAATAATAGTACTTAATGTATCAACACTTGTCAATGGTGAATGCATAGTTTGTTAATATAGTGATAACCACTTCTCAATTGCCAACAGCAAATAATCAACTTGTAACTTGTTGATTTTTAAAGGGAATAACAGCAATTAAAGTATCAGCACTTGTCAATAGTGAATGCATAGCTTGTCAATATAGTGATAACCACTTGTCAATTGTCAACGGCAAGTAATCAACAAGTTCTTGTAGTTTGTTGATTTTTAAAGGGAATAACAGCACCTAATGTGTCAGCACTAGTCAATAGCGAATGCATAGTTTATCAATAAAGTGAAAACCACTTGTCAATCACAATTGGCCACTTGTCAACATTTAATTAATAAAACAAACTATTTGCCCCATTTATAAATTTGTAATCACCATTCATAATAACATTGTTTAAGTTAACTATACGAAATAGGCTAACTATATAAAAAGACATGATTATCAATAAAGTTATATCCTAAAGTTTTATCAATAATCTTCTATTTTCTCTTCTTCCTTTCCTAGGATCTTTCCAATAAGGGCATGGCTTTATGCTCCTTCACGTTGTTACAATGACTCAATAGCCACTATAAGAATTCTATCTTCTTCTTATAAAGGTCATCCTGTACCACAAGTCATTCTTATGAGGTATAACAGAGATTTTGTAACAAAAGAAGCTTGCATCACATGCTTGAGAATAATATATAAAATATCCCCTATATGAAAAAAAAAAACATAACATAATACATGTTTTTCAGTGGTATAAGCATTCTTACAAGTCATCCTGCACAATACAGTGCATCGACAACTATCGATAGCATATTGACAACACAAGAATACACTATTGACAACATGTAGAATTGTTCGTATTAGATATTTTTTAGCGTATTAATGTCGCACCAGATGAATCCATACCCATTAGCTATGCAAATTAAATGATCGTAGGCATACCCAGAAAGCATTATGCTACCCTTAAACAATAATGAAATCATTAACGAATGAGAAATCGTTTACTTGCTCAACAATCACTGTATTGTTTTCTATCGTGCAATGAAATATTGCAATCATGGATGAACACTCCCACCTCGCTTAGATGAAGACAACGACAGTAATCATAGATATGGGGAAGTGAAAATTACCCTACCGTGATCAACAATCATGGATATGCATCAATCTTTAATTTCACTGACCATGTGTTTTGTGATATCTGCATTCAAGCAAGATTTCCTTTTTAATGGTAGAGGAAAAATTAGTAATTTCATTTTCAGACTTATTCACCCTTAAGTTCCTTGGGATCTGGTAGCTATTTAATGAATTCATGGGACTTTAGTGTATTTTGATTGCTTCCACGGGACCTTAGAATGATTTTCCCTATTTTGTATATTTGTAGCTTGTGAATGATTATGAGTAGCTAAATCCTTTGTTCTACAATTATTTGAAACCCTTGTATGGATTAACACTATGTTCCTCCTCTCTTTTTATGATTAATGATATATATGTATTTATTTTACTCTTTCCTTAATGCTTCTAAGTGATTAGCCACCATTTAGATGTTGAGTTAACTTAATTAATGCTTGAGAGGGCTAAGTTAAGTGTATAACTTGGGTAAAATTGTGTAAGAACTTGATTTTTGCATGTTGAATGGATGGTTTTGCTCGTAAGATAGAGATATACTTGCTAGCGTTACATAACTACATTAGGGCTGGTGTTTAAAATTGAATTTAATTAATTGTAACAAGAGATTGAGCAATTAATTTAACTAAACACTTGTTCATGACTTGAGAGAGCTTGTCCAAATATTTTTAGAACCTTATATTAACACTTATTTTCATTAAAAGCATTTATGAAAGGAGATGATTTTAGTGTTATGAAATGCAAGGGGGATAAATAATCTTAGGTCCTAATTTGTGTTTGAAGTGTGTGAATCAATTACTTTTCTTTATTTACTAGTGTTAATTTAATTTGCAAGATCAAATTTTTCCTAATTGTGTTTAGCTCAATTTGATCGAATTTGCTTAGTCTTTTACTTGATTATTGTTTTTAAATAAATTTTTAAAAAAAACGATACTTTACTCATCTTATATTATTTGCTACGACTCGTGCGCTTGCCATTAGCAACGCGTATTGATAATTGTTTGTGAATATTTTCATTGAGTGGTTCTTAAATGTGATTCTCCTAATAAATTAACACTCCATGACAAAATGGACTAGTAAATTAATTTCTAGGATATTCATATATGTCTTGTGAAAGCAAGACATCTTTTCATTTTTATTGCCCTTTTTGGGTTTTCTAGCATATTTCTTTTTGTTAATTTTTTTTTAATCAATAGACATGTGTTATGTGTTCTAACTTCATTGGGTGATTGTTACAGAAGTTATTTTATGCCCCGTTGATATCATGCAATAATTTTTCATGAAGGTATAAATGAAAGAGGAAGAGGGAGTGATGTGAAAATTGAATTTCAAAATATGTTTGATATGTCCATATAAAAGTATGGGTTATATCTTGCAAAGGAATTGAGGGAGGAAGTAAGTTTTATGAGTATGAAGGTGAAATTGAGTTTTATCAATTCTACTAAAATCAGATTTTTTAAAAAAGTGAAATTTATTATACCAAATAGTTTATTTTTTTCAATCTAATTTCTATTTCTCTAATCCCAATTTCATGCTACCAAGTACAGCATTATGCTTGCTTGTTTTTCCAGGCACATCCTTCTTCCTATCACCATTGGAATGAAACATGTCTCCTTTAGATTGGATTAGCAACTCTCTTTTCTTCTCATAAAACGAGTTTTTGACACAAGCCTTTTCTCTCACTCCCCAATCCCTATTCTTGAGTTTTTCAATGCAATTTATAGATGCTGCAAAAGATATTACTAGATTTCAATGGCTTGTTTATGTTGAAATAACACTTTAAATTCAGGCCAAAAAAAGAAAGAAATAACCCTTTAAATGCAAAAGGAAAAGTGGTCACTTTTTATTTTAATGATATATTCAAAATGAAATAACACAATAATAAGGGTTAAAGGATTGTTACATTTTGTGATTAAAAAAAAAGGATTCTTATATTTTTTTAATTCATATAGAATATTTCTCTACTTTTTTGTTACACATGTCATTCTATCAAAATCTTTTTTAAAATCCGGTTCAAATACAAAATATGAAAGTAGTTAATAATATTTACAATATTTTTAAATAAAAAATTTAAAAAGAAAAAGTTATAATTATTTATTCTGTTTTAGTTATTATTAAAGAAAAATAATCATTACTTCATTTAAAATAATTAGTAATATTTATAATACTTAAATTGAAATAATTAAAAATGTGTAGAGTAGAAATTATTATTTGCTATCTCGATGTAATTATTATTAAAAAAATAATTATTACTTAAATCTTTAACTTCATAAAAAAATATTATTGCCAACAAGGTCTCAAAAAACTTCAAAAGAATTATTATATGGGAACTTATTATCATTTGGTGATTTTTCTGTCATTTTTTCACAATGTTATTAAGATTAATAATTTAAATATGAATATAAAGATTATCATAAAATAAAAGAAATAAAAATGATATTAAGTAAAAATTATTTGTGTTCTTTTTATTACATTATTCCATTCATTATTTCCTTCTGTTCAGGTTCGATCCATGCCTGTTCTAATTGTCTTCATCTGGTGGTGACCAAACCCTAGGCACAAAAATCGTGATCCTTCTTCACTCATCCAAAACCCTACTCGGAGCCCTATCTGATTGTTGTTCCGTCAACTTCGCGAGAAATCCCGGTTAGCCATGGATGCTCAGCGAGCTTTGCTTGACGAACTCATGGGCGCCGGTATGCTGAATCTCTTCCTTATTCTGAACCATTATTTACTCCCGATCTTGAGCTGGCCTTTTATTCATCATTTTTAATTATAACTTGATGGGTTTTTTTTTTTCTTTACGCGTTCTTGTTGTCGAATTCAGCTCGTAACTTGACGGAGGAACAGAAAAAGGGGTACAAGGAAGTTTCTTGGGACGATAAGGAAGTCTGTGGATTCTACATGGTTCGATTTTGCCCTCACGATCTTTTCGTCAATACCCGAAGTGATCTGGGTGCGTTTCAGTTTGATTTGTTTTCCTTTCAGTGTCTAAATTCTCTTCTGGCTGATTGCTTGGGAGACCCGGTTCGATTGGTCAATTTATACCGAATGTGAAAGGTCTAGTGTGTTGTACCTTACTACTGTTGTCCTCCGCTCAGTTACAAACAAAATAAATTGACTTGGAAACAAATAATGAGTCCAACATTGATTATTCTTTTTCTAATTTTACTTTTGGGAGCTAGGCTTTTCCTTACTTTAGGTTGATTGTTTTATTTAAAATTCAAAGTTAAAAACATTGTTTAGAGGGAGGTTCCTCATCTATCTGTTGAATTTCTGAGCAGCTGCAAGGATTTTTCTTTATGATGATTGCCATAATTTGGGTTTTCCAAGTTCTGATAACCTCTCTTTTTGGTTAATTTTCTTCAGGTCCTTGTCCTAGAATACATGACCCAAAATTGAAAGAAAGGTGTGCAATCATTTTCATTATATTCATATGTAATATAGTGTTTTGTGGATGAATAGTATCGAATTTTTAAATTGTTAAGCTGCTTGAGTCTTACTGCAGTTACTCATGTACATTTTTTTCCCTTGTTTAAATTTGATCCTATTTACTTGCAATTTTCTTTTTTGGGTCTTGGATTGAGCTTCTCTATGTGGTTATATCATGGAACTTCACGCATCCTGTTTGCTTGTTATTATCTTTTTAATATGTTTTGAGCTTAATGTCTCCCTCTTCCCAATATTGTTTGGTGATAGTATAACTTACACTTGGAAAGTAAGGGTTGGAAGAGATCAAGAATAAGGAGGATAAAACATATTTCCTTTTGCATTAGACCCCAGCACAAACAGAAATGGCAGTATTGAATATTTGTCTCGTGTCTTAGGGCATTTGCAATATATCACCCTTAGAAAAACCAACAGCACAGCACATCCAATCCATTGAAATAGTACAGCCTGATCATAACCGAAGAGGCTACTTTTGGACCTTGGGAATTCTGGCATTCCTTCCAACCCTCTCCATAGCAATGAAAAAGTGGAACATCCCTTATTTCCCTTTCCTCTCAAGTCAGAACAATCCCATGCAAAGGTCATCAGTCTTTGCAATCCACATTTCTTCAAATAGACTAAACAACCTTGTTAATATATTTCATGAAGGGTTTTCCTTTTTGAAATCATAAGATCAGATGTTAGGTGACAATACCGGCTTGGTGTTAGTAAATGGGATGGTATAGAATTGATCTTGAAGTACGATGTATCTAACAAAGGCCTACAATTTTTTTTGGTCTAAAATCAACTAGCTTATTTGATGGGCTTTTTACCTGGACTCCATTCATTTATTTATCTTTTGCAATGTGAGGAATTGGGAACTTTGATATCTTTGGGGCTGCATATCTAGTTTGTGATTTGGAATTGTCAATTGAAGTATTTGATTGGGAATATGCTTAGTTACTTGTCAGTTTTTCAAAAGTTGTGACGGTTTACTGCTTGTTTCCCAACGCATTTACAGGTTGTGGATATCATCCTTGACAATGAAAGTGGAAATTATTGAACTTAAAGCATGTGTTTTGTACTAAACTCATCTTTTAATGACTTTTTAAGAAAAACCATGGGATATACAATAGAATTTGTGATTTGTATTGAAGCAATCTTTATAGCATGGCATCATACACTCCGCCTCAGGGCTGACCAGAGTTCATCATTAATATTGTAGATAGTACGTGCTTTGTGCTTTTAATGTGTAGTATATCTTACATCATTTCTGATAGCTAGGTTGTGTGTGGCATGTGTGGCATGCTCTGAATGTAGTCTGTCTTCTGTTTTATTCTTTGTATGTTCTTGGTGCAATTTAGGTTGCTCAAGACATTATTTTAAATGGATGTGAAATCTTAGAAGGAATGAGTTTTTCCCATGCACAAAAAAATGCTACTAAATTTTTTGATAAAAGTAATCACATTGTACATGCCAGTTATTGATGTTATTTTGATCTACAATTGCTGTCATTTCTTGAGTTATTGTTATTGCTTAAAGTATAATTGGGAACATAGCTAATCTTGATACTGTGACTGCATCATTGTATTATGAAAATGGTCAATTAAATTATATTATGATCGATGGATAAGTTGTTTTTGTTGTCACTTGAATTGGCTGGTAACATTTTAAATTATTTTAGGCTGTATTTGTGGATGTACATAGACTTTTTTGGCATAGAGGTTCTTACTCTTATTCATGTGCTGTAATGAACAACATACTGAATTAGCACTGACTTAACCTGTTGTCAAATTATGCATTGCAAAGTTGTGAAGTGTTCCCATTATTAATATAAATGTACCATACTAGAGCATTGGTGGTTTCATTATAGAAAATATTTGGATTTTGCCGCCCTGAGATTTTATTCTCATCTTTTTTGCCCGTGTTCGCTGAAATATTCATCAACAAAGGAATGCACATTCATTGGCATGTTCCTTTTAGATTTAGTGATTATATTATTTATTTTAAATTTTTATTTATATTGTGTTGTCCTCAGCTTTGAGAAATCCCCAAGACATGATGCATTTGTGCCCAAGTTTGAAGCTGAACTTGCTCAGTTCTGTGAAAAATTGGTAGGTCAAATGCATTACCTCAACAGTTCCTACATCAGAAGAATCTTGCTCAGTTCTGGTATTAATTTCAGGTAATGGACTTGGATAGAAGAGTAAGACGCGGGCGAGAACGTCTTGCTCAGGAGGTGGAACCTGCACCACCGCCTCCACTGACAATTGAAAAGTCTGAGCAGCTATCTGTCCTGGAGGAGAAAATAAAGAACCTTCTGGAACAAGTTGAGTCTCTTGGAGAATCTGGGAAGGTTGATGAAGCAGAAGCTCTGATGAGAAAGGTGCTGAAGTTTATGCAAATTCTATATTTTATTTCTTAGCAATCCGTATATTGATTCTCCCCGACCCATCACACCGAAGTTTTTGAAGCCTTGTTTGCTGATATGAACAAATTTCGGTCAGAGATTGGCATGATTTTTTTTTTTTTAAAAAATTGTTTGGGTTTTTTCTGCAGGTGGAAACACTTAATGCTGAGAAGACAGCCTTAACTCAACAACCTCAAAATGACAAGGTGATGATGCTTGCCCAGGAGAAGAAGATGGCACTTTGTGAGATATGTGGTTCTTTTCTTGTGGCAAATGATGCTGCAGAGAGGACCCAGTCTCATATCACAGGGAAGCAACATGTTGGTTATGGAATGGTTCGTGACTTTATAAATGAGTATAAGGTGAGCTTTTGTGTCAGATTGATTCAAACAGTAAAACTGATGTAAACCCTTAATGTTGATTCAAGATTGAGAACATTTTTCAGGATGCTAAGGAGAAGGCAAGGGAGGAAGAAAGATTAGCTCGGGAGAAGGAATTAGAAGATCGGAAGAAGCAGAAGGAGAAGGAGTATGAGAGGAGGCGGCATGCAGATTCAAGAGATACGGATAGGCATCGTGATAAAGATAGGGACAGGGAGCAGGGTCGAGATAGGGAGCGAGATAGATATAGAGGAAGAGATTCAGATCGTGAAAGGTCACGTGAATGGAATGGTAGAGTTCATCGAGATGGAGGAAGAGAGGCAGATTCTAGGTTGAGGAATGGAAGAGATGGAAGCAGAGACAGGTACCGTGATCGGAGCAGGTCACGCTCTCCTGCTAGGCATAGCTACAAACGCTCTTGAAGTCCAGTTCAAATTAATGGAATTTCTTGATAGATATCTGAATTTGAATTTGAAATGAGGTAGATCTTAATATCCCAAGACTTCTATAAATATGTGGTTTTGGAGTCTAGTTATCTCATAATCAGGGGTGAATTTTTTTCCCATCTCAGAGCTATGTTGAGACAATACAATCTCCCTTTCATCGAAATTATATATGGAGAAAAGGGTTGAGGTAGGTAAATCACTGTTGTACTCTTACAATCTGTTTTGCGCTTTAATTTAAATTTTTATCATATCTCTGAAACATTGCGTAATCTCTGTTGCTCTCGCATTTTCTGGAGATGCTTCAATTTAATATCATATCTGGCAAATTTAAGATGTCAGCTGAATTACATGCATGATTGCCATTGCTGCTGAGAGGGATGGTTTTCTCTTTTTCTGAGGTAACAAGTGAACTTTTTACCATAGAGGATAGAAATTTTTGTTTTCTTTTCCCTTTTTCTTCCGTGCCCTTGTTTTTACTTTTTAAGGTGATATAGATTACATAGAAGTTCATAAATGCTGCCTATTCTGGCTGCATTTGAAATTGATATACATTCCATAGGTACCCGTTAGCTGTTACAGGTAAATTTTCTGCATCTATTGTCAGTTGACTTCCTAAGTCAGAAAACCATGCAAGTAATATATGAATAAGCCATTGTTTTGATCTGTTTGTTCAAAATCTGAACGATAACTATAATGTCTCATCTAAATTGATGAATTGATCTACTGAATGCCTTGAGTTAAGGATGAAAAGGGGCGCAATTATAGGTATCTGACTGTTTTTGCTGGGTGACTCTAGCAGAAAAGTTGTCATATGCATGAAAATTTCAGTGTACTGAGATGCAGAGTTTTGTGAACAAACATCAAACGTGTAAATGTTTGGGTGCCTGGAGGTAACTGGTTTTATATCTGGATGATAGTGTCTAATTTCGTTGACAGAAACGCTATTGATGATTAGATTGTTTCTGCTAGGTGACATGCGCAGGAAAATTAACTTAGAACATTCTGCTTTTTGGAAGAAACAAGGTAAAAGGAAAATTAATCTCGTTCTTTAATTTTGGGATAAAATAATGTGTACTCTTTTGAAACTGGCAGAGTCCTAGATACTTTATAAACATGCTTATTTTGCTCTTTTCTTGGATTGTAAATATTGATTAAACTTAATAGAGCAGTTTTGGAAGCAGTGACTGTCTTTGTTTGACTGGAGTTTCTTTACTTTTACTTTTTTATTTTTTTTATTTTTATGTTAATTTTTAAAGAGAGATATGATAATTTTTTTACCCTGGAATAGCAATTCCGTTTTTACAGGGGTTAACTTCCATTAGTTGCAATAAATGATACACAAATTGCAATAGCAATAGAAAGGAGCAGATAATTATATGCTGATAGAAGTTCAGAGAATTACTATCCACGAATTGTTTGCTAATGTCTTTTTATGACACGCGGTGCCTGATAATGTTACAAGGATGAGCTCATACTGGAAATTTTTTTATAAGCTTAATGAAATAAACAGCAGCCAAGAGCAAAGTGGAAGAATTTAGGTTGCTTATCATGTTTATATACTTTTTTTGTTTTAAGCACAGGGTCCTTGGATTGTGCAAATTAAAGCTTGCAGAAATTATTTCAGACATTAAAATGAATTGAAATGATTCATCTTTCTGAATCATCAAAAATGCAAATACGAATATAAAGGTTCAATTTATTATATGAGGTTAAGGATAAGGATTCAGATTAGGAACACTAGTGGCCAATATGTGGCAAAATGAACGACTCCATCGGGGGACACTGGAAAGCAACATTGTACAAGTTATCTTCGCCAAGCACTTCTTATTTTTGGGCAGAGCCCACAAGGATCCTTTCTCCTCCACGCGCCTTAATTTAACGTGTACAGATGTCTCCAACTATTTGGAGGATTTAGTGAAAATTTATTCTGGGGATTTAACTATTTGTTGGATTTGGTAAAGTGTGTTCTAAATATAATTTGAATGTGTTTTTGAGGGTTACTTAAATAGGGCTTCGCTTGTGAACAATCTTTTTTAGAAACACCCAAAATAAGGATGCAAAGATATCAATTACAGTAATTAGAGAAATAGTTAGTCTTTTTTTTTTTTTTCTTGGCACCTCTAACCCGTCAAACAAGAAAAGTGTTGCCAAGAACCATTTGGTTGAATGACATGAGCTTTTACGTAAGATATGGATTCTATCCGATCCAAAAATGGGTAAGGGTTAGGTTAAATCAGTGTTTTGAAACTCGGATTGGACATCAAATAAAAAAAGCAACGGGTCATGGTTTTCATAGTCTAATCGGTTAGACCGGTGGTCGAACTGATGACAAAAATTAAATAAAAAATAATATTTATATGCAATTATATAAATAAAACATTAATTTGTCAATGGTGCTGGGATCTCAACTCCAAAAGCTAGATGTTTAGATCGTTGGAGCTAGAGGTAGAGGCATGTTAGTAAAAGCTTGTGATCTCGAAGGAAAATGATGGAGTTGGAGGCATGCCATCACGTCATAACTCACAAGCTTTCGATCTCGATACCAAAGGTTGGATCTCTAGAGCTGGAAGTAGAGGTTGGAGGAGAAGTTAGAAATTGAGCTTGGCCATGAAGGAGAGATTAAAGAATAGAAGAAAAGAGAGAATTAGTAATTAGAGAAGAGAAATTGTGAATCTAAGCAACTTAACTTGAATTTCTTTTTTTTTTAAATTTTTTTTGGCTTTGAATCGGGTTAACCTAACTCCAGTTTCTGGGTCAAAGCTAATTCTCTCAAAACTGACTGGTTCAATCCAGGTCAACCCAAGTCAAATGCCAGATTGATTTAACTGGTTGAACCAAACCATTTTGTTCAACGGGTGACAATCAAACCATCCGACCCGATCTGGTTTCAACAACACTAGGTTAGATAGATGTGCGTGTTGGGTTGGTTGTAGGTTAGGGTGTTATGTTCTGTGTGTTGGGCAAGTGAATAATGTATGTGTAGAATCCTTTTTTCTATGGAGAAGGGTTGGATAGATTAGGCAAAAAAGTGTTGGTAAGGTTGATCAGAATGTTTCGTTTAATTATTCTAAACAAGCATTATCTTCTTCTTTTTTTTTTTTAACAAAAAAGGGTTAATTAGACAAATTGGTGAAGTTTCATTTTTAGACCTGTACCCAATAAGATTAGAATATCATAATTTTTTTTTACACTTAACAAATAAATAAGTGACATGTTACTACAAATAAATAAAAGAAGAATTACATTCACGAATCACTCAAGCAAATTATTCACAGATAAAAGAATAATGAGTCCCATTCTAGAAAAAAAGTTACATTTTCATTTTAATAACAATATTTCATGTTGATCCTTATTTATAAATAATTGTTTTTGAGTGGTCTTCGGATGTGATTTTTTCATAAATATAAATAAAGAGAGAATCATATTCAAAGACATTCAAGCAAATTATTTATAGATAAAGATTAATAACAAGTCTCATTACAAAAAAAAAGTCACATTCTCATAAAGTTTGACTGCTTTCAAAATTTATTCAACTACATTTGATGTGGGGGTAATTTTAGTAAAGGATCTAGGTAGGGATTTAATTTCAAATTATGACCCATAGAATTTAAAAATACAATGCAAGACCAAAGAATTGAAAATATATTTTGATAGAAAATGATTAAAATGCCCTTATATTTTTTTTTTAACTTAACAAGTTAAGGCGTTAATAAGTACATTTCATATTTTAATAAGTCAATAAGATTTGATATATAAAAGATATAGTTAATAAGTTTTCCTGGTGAATTCATAATTATTCATTACTGAAATGACAGGTTACGTTATGATGTTAACAAATTCACTTTATATTATAAAAAATCATCAATTGCTTATGTAGAAGGTATTGTCAATAAGTTGTGCTAAGAAATTAAAAATATGCATTAGTGAAATGACAAGTTAAATTATAGATTTAACAAGTCCAGCTCATCAACAAGATTAAAAACATAAAAAGTATTATCAACAAGTTTTGTTAGTGAATTAATAAGCATATATTTGTGCAATGAAAAGTTAGAATTTTAATAAATCCATCTTTTAAAATAGGAAAGTTAATCTATTGGTCTTTGTAGTTTTACATGATTTTAAATTAGGTATTTGTACTTTAGTTTGTTTTAAGGGTAAATGAATAAATTGTTTTAAACTTTAAGTTAAGTAACGCCATAAATCCTAAAACCTTTTAAAGTTTAAGAATAATTTGCTTATTTATTTTTATTTTAACCACACCCTTATAATTTGATAGATTAAATATGTTAGTCCCTTGCTGTTAAAATCCTTTAATTTTCTCCTTTAAAAAATGACATTAAGGGCTTCTTATGTTTATTAAAAGATTTTATAATTTTAGAATTAATTTCAAAATTTTATAATTCAAAATTTATATAATTAATTTATGTTTTCTAAATAATTTTTAAATATATAGAATTTTGACCAAAAAATAATAAAAATGTTAGCATTGTATTAAATCAAAAAAAAATTTCTAAAAAGTATTGAATTTTCTATAAAATTTAAAAGTGTTTTTATTTTAAAACAAATCAATCATTCATTAATAATTTTAACTTTTGGAACTAATACATTTAACCAATCAAAGTATAAGACCTAATTAAAATATAATAAATTACGGAGACCTAATTTAAAATTGAAAAATATTAAAAAAATTTTATAGATTAAGTTTCCCTTTAAAAAAAAAGGGCCCTTTGAATATTTTCCACCAAAATTTATTTTTAATTAAGTTTCTTAACCCTGCAGTGTTTTTTCAAATTTTTATCAGTGATTTAAAATGTAACCCCTACAGGAATCATTTGTTGAAATTCTTTGACATGTCCTTCAAACGTTTGCATTCAATACTCACCATTTTAAATAATGGGCATGAGATACTCATCATAAATCTTAACTGTCCAAATTTAATTCAAACAATCCAAAATATTTTAACATTATATCATGAAATCTAGACTACAAATAATTATTCGACTATCACTTTTTTTTTAAAAAAAAAAGATGAAGTTCAAAATTTTAAATTTCAACCATCTTATATCAACGTATAGATACAAAATATAACAGCATAACTCCTATAGTCGTGAATAGTTCTACTCTTTTCGCAAATTTAAGTTAATGCATGCGAATTATCAAAAAAAAAAAAAAAAAAAAAAATCTACCACGTTCGTGAGATCGTGTGTTCATCATACATCCATAAGGAGCGTACATAGAATATAACTACATTTCTCTTTCCTACCAATCCCCAAATGCACCATATCTACACAAACAATTACTCAAGACACCTGACATAATTTCATCAGCAAGAACTACAGTTAAGGTGCATGAAGCAAAATAAGATTAACATCCATAATGATGCCATCCAATATTTATGAATAAACGAATATATTCTCTGGAAGGAATAAAATTCACTTTGAAGAGCAACTGAATCCTGATAAGGTGCATTGTAATAAACCCAAATTGACTACTATACATTTATATACTGCGGCTACTCTGTCATATTTTATGCTTTTTGCCCACTGGTTGCAAATGAAAATGCAAATAGGTGATGACGAAGTACAAGAATGTTCTCTGCAAAATCAATAGCAGGTAGGGCAGGACAAAAGGGCGGAAGGACAAAATTGCATGGAGTGTGATGAGAGAAATCAAGCCAAACTGGCTTGCCAACAGTAATAAAATCATGAATTGAGAGAGAGAGAGAGAGAGAGAGAGAGAGAGTACTTGTGTATGGAAGTCACTTTTTCTCTTTACATCCATTCATTTCTGTTCCTGTTTTAATCTCTCTCCCAGGTGTATTGCAGAGGATGCTCCATATCACACGAGAAACATTCAAGAATCTAAATTCACACGCCGCATCTTAGATATAAGATTGGCGGTTGGCAAATCAAGTTGGATGCCTGAATCTGTCTTCAAAAGATCTTTTAGCTGATCTCTTGATGTAGAAAGACAGGTTTGGAACGTGGCAAGAACTGGAGGTATTGGCATTGATAGAGCAGAAAGCACATTACTGAGATACTCAATGTCAACTGATAGCTGCTGGGCTCCACGATCAGAAATGTACTGAATCCCACGCAACTGCTCTATGTAAAGAGCCGTTGCACCCTCTGCAACCTAAAATACATCAACATAAAAAAATTAGAGAGGATATCGTTATTACATCATGTATGCATACAG